TGGTCTGAAAGCCTTTAAGGCTCTCTACACACTTTTACTAATGTTGGAGATGCCTCCATGTCTGGCAGGCCTGGGACAGACGTGTGCGATTGGTATGCGATCCATGTCATCATCCCCCACTTCAACAAGGCATCATTCCTGAATTTACTTGAAAATGCACTTTGTCATGACCTTTAAAAATGTATTTACACATGTACTTAACAACTTTGATAGTTGAGCATACCTCTATGTTGATGTGGCAGTTGAACTTAGCGAGAAGGTGCGATTATATGGAACAACCCATCTGTTGTCGAGTTCTTTGCCTCTAACGATTACAACTTTGCCATCTTTTCTTCGCCTATATGTCTGATATGCGTTTTCCCCATGAGTAGTTTCCTCTACCCATTGTTTTGGATATTTATTCTTGCATAATTTAAGTACTCGTCCTTGCATGCAAACATTATTTGGCTTTAATCTACCACAAGGTCCGTGCATCATGTGGTTGTAGACCATATTGAATAAGTGCTTTTTTGTTTTTTCATTACGTAATTTGGCACAAACAATGAGGAAGTCAGCATGCGACAAACCACGTTTCTGGAATTCGATGACAAACATGTATGCTGCTACTTCACCGAAAATCTGTTTTGAACAATTCTTCGTTGAGCAATTCCAATTTTGCGTGGAAGACTCGAGCACACAAGTTTATTCGAAGCTTCATTAGTGGGAACCATAATTTATTTTCTAGTCATGAAGGATTGCCTGTCAAAGATAGAAATAAATCTGGCCTTCCATACCTTTGGAGTAAAGCCATTGCATCAACATATCTTTTCTTCATATCTCGGGGACCTCCTATGAATGATACTGGTAGAGGGATTCATTGTTCTACTTGAGATCCTCGAGTCTACCCTTGAATAACACAGTCCATTAGGCCTTAGAGTTGTTCTCATCTAATCAATAGCTATTTACTCCTATAAAAGTCAAGCCTTTGTGCTTCAAGCTTGAAATACATATCAACTGCGAACTGTTGTAATAAGCAACCACTATTGAGAATATTTGGACTGTATTTCTTCCTCATTTGAAATTTGTATGTATAGTATTCTCCCATTGAGACAAATTCTTTTGCGTTTTCATGTTATTCAAAAGTTGTAGTATTAAATTGTCATGGTTAGACATGTGTAACAAGTTCAGCTGCTAATATAGGTATGACATTGATAGTACACACCTTGTTGTTCAGAGTTGACAAGCTCTTCACCTGATTTGAAGCTACTTATGCAATAGTTGAATGCTTTTGCTTTGCAACTCTTTTACACTTCTTTGGATTTACATTTCCTGGTCTTTGAATTCTTGGATGCCATCTAGTCTCTCCAAATGGGAATAAAAGAGGATATTGGAGGGGATCATAGCATCCATAATAATGTTGAACCCTGGGTTTTTTACCTTCCTTTGTATACACTTGGATATGCCTTGTATATCCCTGAGTTCCATTGTCCTCTTCTGTCCATAAAGCTGCAGCTTGTGAAACTATATAGGTTTGTTGAAAACTCTTTGATCAGCATTGGAATGTGATTCAGGAACAATTTGGTATGAATCAAGGTTTGGAACATTGCGTAGACTCCGAAAGAAACAAGCATAAGTACTCTTCCTCGTGTGTTCCATGATTTTAGTGACTATAGTTTCTTTGACCTTTTCTGAAAATGCCAATTTGTTCTCCAATTTGTGTTCAACATCATGAAAATATAATTGGAGGTACATTTCAAATCACCCATGTGGAATTAGTTCATTGATAAAATGATGAGTTTGGCCTTGGATTTTGAATGTATAGATGCCATTTGTTCTCTTACATAAGGCTTTGTCATAGTGAACTCCAAATTATGTGAAAGTGAACATATTATTATATGTCCAAACATAAGTTCAAAAGATATTCTATCATTTTTTTTGTGCAATGGAGAGTTCAATCAGACTATCTGGTAACTTATTTTCATCAAGCACCACTTCACCATTAGAGCAGTAGAAGTTTGGAGTTTCAGAAAAGAATTTTTTATTACCACAATAGAGACAATCTGCAACATCTGGTAGTTTGTCTGCTTAATTTGATATGAACTTTAGAGCTTCTGTTCCAAGTGGTACATGAGGTCCTAAATAAGAATATTACATATAGTAAGATAAGTAAATAATCAATGAAGAGCGGGTGTCTTCAAAGTTAAAGTATCCGAGACAATAACTATCTATGTATATTTTGACCTCTGTTTTGTCATAAATTTTTTCCTCTAATGTCTCCAACAATGCTGAGATCCAGTCATTTTTGCTGTACCTATTCACAGATGAGTACTTAGTTGATTATTAATAGTAATATTAAATTGCATTACAAGCTAGGATATAACTTTCTGCTGCAATATTAGTGTCTTCATTATCTAGTCTTGCAGGATCAGTGAGATGTAAGACCATAGACAAACCTTCAATATTTTCCATTGCATCTGAAAGATATTGATTGCATGAATGACAAATTGCAGATTGATTCTCTGTGCAAATATGTTTATGAAAGGGATAAGCTCTTTTTGACCGATAATGATATTAATCTAAGAACAACAATAAAATAGGTAGCTGAATAGGTATGTAAATACGCCTGACTCTGATTGACTTTTAGTCAGAGAAGGTGTATATTGGCAATAAATAGTTGGTGAAGAACCTGGCTCAAAGATTCATTATATAGCTAAAGTTAAAAACAAGAATAAGAAATGCAATATTGGTATTGTACTATTGCTATATTAAGTGTAAACTGTCCTTTTTCATGGGTTGACAATTGTGCCACGTAAACCTTGAGTTTTGAGCAATGCTTATCAAGTGGATTTTTAGTAGGACTACTTGTGTTTGACTTAGAGTGATCCTTATAAATTTGTGAGAAACTTTTGTCATGGCACAATAAAGTTGTACACTGTGCTTGCTCATTTGATATTATTGTTCTAAACCAGGTGTTGAGAGGACATGTTGTCATTAGGTTCTTTATTTTTCTCCTCATGAGTGGCATCTGGAATGAAAAAGTAGAATACTTAATACTTTGATTCATAAGTAATGTGTAGAGTTAAAATCAAGATTAACTGGAGTTAATACCTTTACATTGGACAGGTATCTTATGCTGTGTTTCTTCTTGTTGAAGAAGCTTTGTGGCATTTCTTTTTGCTTTTCTTTTCTGATATGCTTCTCTTTGTTTTAAGCGACACTTGTCGTTCTCTTCGATGCTTAATTCAGCATATTTCTTTCTAGAGTTTTGATTGCATTTTTTTTTGCTTAGCTATTTTTCACTGATAGTGATGTTATTCATGGATTTAGAGCAATAGTAGCACTGATGTTCAGCTCTGTAATACTAAAAGTGGAATCCTAGCACTAACATTTGCTTTTGTAATACTAAAACTAGAAAGCTAATACTAACTAAGTACAACTTAATGAGAGTTATAGATATTCAAAAATAGATGCAGTCTATAAGATCAACTAACAATACATGAAGGGAAGGACAAATTGTGAGAACCCGAAAAATTTTCTTATTTTTATCTTATTTTACTGGCTTATTTAAATATTTATTTACCTGTTTTCTCCGAATAATTTATTTCAACCATTTTAAATCCATTTATATGGAATAATGCCTTACTAATATTTTTAAAAACGTTCCGTTAGCAAATTTATTTTTTTTAGGCTCATTTAGTATGGAATAATGAGTACACGTTTTTCGAAATAATATTTGATCCGAGAGTGCAATTGATACGTTCCTCGATCAACTCGTTTCGAGACATGTAGCACGTTTGCCCAAGGATCTAACGAGGTTGTCCAACGCTTGGATTGCGGAACTTAAAATCAAACGGACAACACGATTTGATTGAAGGTGGTAGAGCGACGACTCTAATCGAGGTGGATACTCAAGAGGATAGGTCGGTAGTGTGAGAACCCTGAAAAAAATAGACATATAAATATCAGTGCATATTTTTTTTTTTGCATTTTAATTCGTTAATAAATTTTAACACGAAGTCCAATTGTTTCTAATTAAGTATGTAGAATTAAACGTTATGTACAAAACAAAAGAATTGTGCTAAACTACTAAACTTCGTGGTTTTGTTACATTAACTTCATATTTCGATGGTAAACTATTTCATTGATCTAATCATTAATTTCTTCGAATTCTAGAATGGTAATTAATTGTTTTGAAATAAAAGTGTAGAGATAATTTTTAAGTAATAAATAATATAATTGTGCCAATATTGAATTATTCGGTTTTGCTATATTAAATTAATATTTCTTGAGTTAGATTAATTTATCGCCTTAAAATACTAAAATACTTAGTTTTCTTAATGTTGAAAATTAATGTTACCTGAGTAGATTAATTATATAAAATTTCTTGAATTTCAATAATTAATTCCAATTAGTTGCTAACGTTAAATGTTAATAAGAATTTCCGCGTTAAGATGAAAACCAATGAGTTTTAGATAAATAATACAAGTATTCTAAACATAATTAAGGTGTGAAAAATTCGATAATTAAAGCCTTGCAAGATTTGCATATTACTAGGCGATCAAATTATACTTGGGGATAAATTTTGGAATTAAGTTAGAATTGAGATTTTAAGTTGAGGTTAGGGAGCAAAGTGAAAGGACCAAAATGCCCTTCACAATCCACAAAATCACCACTACACCACAACCATCACCATGCACGGCCAAACACCCCTTCTGACAACATTTCCATCACCGCCCAAATTGTCCAATCCCATTCTCTCCAATTCCATACGTAAACCATCTCCACACTCAACCAATTCTAACCACAAACACCTCTCAATACCACGGCACCCTCTTCATTTCCCTTCCACTTCACATCTCAAACCACAACTGCATTTCACTCTGCCTTGCTAGTGTCGACAAACCGAGAGAGCGAGAGAGAGGCCGAGCTGCACTCTGCAGCCGAGTGGAAGAAAAGAAACCGCAGGATTGAATGTTTTTGGTTCTGGCCGTGAGTTCGAGTGAAACCAGGGAGAGCAAGTGGAAGTCGGAGGAGCTGCCGATCATCACCATTTTCGTTCACTTCAGACCAACATTTCCCAGCTGCAACCATCTTCACCACAACACCATTTCCAGCTGCAAATCGAACCAGGACCAACCAGTGTGCGTGAGAGCCAAGAGGGAGCAGAAATTTTCCAGATTTTCTTGCGTGAGCTTAGCTTGCTGTGAGGTAATTTCTGGATTCATTTTATGACTAATCAGAGATAGTTTGAGCTATCTAGGGGCATGCGTGTACTATGGTACAGCCGGATGAATGAGATTAAGCCATTAGAAAATTTCTGTTTTGGATGTTGATGTTTCTGCCGAGAAGTTGAGCCGATAATGCAGTTTTATTTTCAATTTTCTGGGACAATCTGAGCATCTAAGTGTACTTAGCCGAATGAAAACTTGAAGATTAAAACCATGCATGAAGTTAATTAGCCGGATTATGCTAGAAGATAAAAATGAAACAGGAATCTGTTGCACGCAACCTAGCCGAGAATAGCTGAACAATTTCTGGAAATTGTGGATGATTTTGTTGTTGGCCGAATCTGATTTTTTTTAATTAGAAATATTGATTAGCTAGTTAAGTATTTTCATGTTAAATTTTAGCACCTAATACCATGAATTAACCAAAGGAAAAGTTGGATTTATGACCAATCTAATTGCTGGAAATCTGTTGAGTTGGCCGAGAGAGGGAAAGAAAGAATTTCCAGTTTTTCTCTTCAAATCTTGGCTGCAAATTTCGTATTGTAGTTCAATATGCTCATAACACAATAATCACTGTATGCATGCTGAGTTTGAGTGAACAAAGTAATGAATTTTGTTAGGGAAAAGTTCGTATACCAAACTATCTATTTGCTGCAATTTTTCCAGCCTAGCCGATGGTGACTCCTTTGAGTTTTAATGGAAAATTTGGTGAGTGGGCTCTATGAATTCCCACAATGACTTGGATAATCTGATTAGTTAGGATTTGATGCTGCTTGTGTTGATTAAGTGCTAATTTAGTAGAGTTAAATGGCAAAAATTAAAAAGGGGGCAATTTGAGGAGTTGCATGTGATGATAACGAATCTGCCCTGTTTTAATCGCACCTATTTTTGCGGAATTTTGAGGGTTTCATGACTTGTATATCATCCTTATATGTTGAAGATATGGTGTACAAAGTTTCATTTAAAAATATTGAAGTTTGGTTGGTCAATTGGATCAATTTCGTGAAGCTAGTAAATCTGGAAAATTGTTTTCGTAATGCTCTAACCAGTCTTCGTATTCCAGCCATAAATCTGTGCTCCGATGTCGAAATCGAGTGCCGTCAGAGGCATTTGAAACTAGATATCCCAACCTTTCCAACGGTATAAAATGTATGTTCTGGTTCCATGTGTGTGAGCCGAACCAACCATTTAAAAATGACTACTCTGTTTCTCTGTTTTACAAGAACAAAATGCTGAGGCTGCAACTTGTGACTCAAATTCGAGCTAGTCTTGTGCCGAATTTCAAAATGATTTCTTCTGTGAAATTATAGCTCTATGAATTTTTTTTCCAACGCCTTAACCCATGCCAAATTCCGAGTTAATTTGAGTTATCTGTGATCAAAATGTGAAACCTGCTTTGTCCTTGAAAACCCTGATTTTTAGACCGATTTGATGCAAGGTTTGGCAAAGACTTGCTAACTGAATATTTTGATGCTAAACATTTACCAAATGTACCATGAACGTTCTTTAAGTTTTGCCTAAACAAATGAACCAGGTTTGGAGGAATTTTCTTTGACCAAATGTCTGAAATGGAAAAACAAAAGGTTCAAGGCAGTTTTGTCTTAGTATTTGCGAAAATTTAGGTGTTTGATTGACCACCTTTCCGAAGTTATTTTTCCATGAAATTTGGTAGAGGAACAACCCTTATATGGTAGTATTATACTGCTAATTATGGTGTTATTCTGAGACCGATTCATGGGTCAAATAAATTACCAAAGTTCAAGACTTGATTTTGGAAAACCCTTGTTTAACAAGAAAATTTTAGTAACTTTGAGCTACCGTATCTTGGTGCTCAAAACTCCGTTCCTCATTCCGTTTGTTTTGTTATACTCTTGAATTACAACACTAATAGATTTGCAAATTTCAAAAGCTATTTCCAAACAAGTGAATTTTTCCGAATTTCCAAAGTTGGCCAAAAAACTAACTTAAATCTGCCTTATGAACCAAAACAGTAACTTTGAGCCCATTTTGACTATCTTCCATTTAGAATCATGAAAAAGTGTATTCTAGGAACTTTTAGCATTTTGAAGGAAGTTTCCAACGGTACCAAGTTTTCCAATCTTGGACATGTAAAAGGTGAGCTACGATTTTTCAAAGTATTGCATCAAAACTGAAATTTTCCGTATTCCAAGGAAATGGAGTTTTTCAAGTACTCCTTATTCCTTCGATAATATTCAAATGTCTTATCCTTGAATTTCATGATGTAGACTTAATTTCTCTTGTACCTTGAAACCCCGCTTGAGAATTTAGATTTAGGATAATTAAGACTTGTTCACGAGATTTTTCCTAAATTTGTACTATGACACGATTTTCAACAATAGTAGGAATTGTAAATAATAGACTATTACTATTCGTTCAGGCGCACGCAAGGACCTTTAAGAGGATCCGACAGAGGACGCTTGAACTTCAAATTGAACCTATTGCCCTTGTTTGACTAGGTGAGTGTTCCATATAAGAATACGTAATTGTGTAAGTCTAGAACATGCTCATTTCATGATCGTTAAGTATTTACCATACTCATGCCTATTTAAGAAATATATATATGCATTGCATATCGACATGAATTGGTTAAATGATTAACCCTATCAAATAATCTTGTAATCGCAATATGTGCTTAGCCTGCTTATTTATGCTTATTTGGTTAAAGTGCTCTTGTGACTCGTTATGTGACAATTTGGAAAATGAGTTCCGATCCATCGAAGTGCGCAGTGTGTACTTTATCACACTAGCCGTTCGAGTGGTGAAGTGTGTGAAATATTTTCTAATGAATCTGTGAATCTAAATGTGGTTGCGTCGTTGGGAGAATCCCTCGACTCGTGAATCAACTACCATAACTAATGAATCTGTGAATCTAAATGTGGTTGCATCGTTGGAGTGAATCTCCTCGACACCTACGTGGTAAAAGTGCAAAACGGCCAATGGCGGCCTATTAAAATGTCATATGTCTACCAATTAACCGTAATTACCACCGTTTACCGTTTATCGTTTACCGTTTACCGTTTATCATTTACCGTTTACCGTGTTTACTTACCGTTTTCTAATATATGTGGTTACTGATTTCTTGATTATCATAAATTATATGCTCATATGAAGTTGTCCATCATTGTTAGGCGAGTGTGTACTTTACCTCCCTCGACCTATTCAAATGATGAATTTTACTTTTGTCGAATTACTTTGTTACATGTGCATGTTGTAAGCTATAAGCTGAACTTGGGCCCCGCCTCGGTTACTGACCTACTCGAGCCAGGACTGGGCTCGGTCGGGTAGGTTGGAACCCTGGACAACCGTTTCGGTATACTCGAGTATTACCACTGGAGGGATAAGGTGATGGCCAGTCAACCGTGGGGATCCGGGAGTTATAAGGTGCAGATGACCGACAAAGTTCCACTGGAACACCGTATCCTTTTGTGTTTACTTTGCTATTATAATGTTATTGCTCTCCTAGTTGGCATTCTCGGGTAAGACTCCTCATGAGCATTAACCTCTGAGATGAAGCAATCCTTGTAATGTTCTTCTAGTCGGACGAGCCACTATTTGTTTGACTGAAAATTTATGAAAATATATTTAAATGGCCTTTCATTCCAAAAGTACTAGTTCTACATGTGTTTTCAAAGTAGCAATTACCCGTGTAATGATTATCACCTCATGGTAACATGCCATTGTGTAATCTAGAATCATGCATACGATATGCATAACTTACTTGACCTATTTGAACTGTTAGAGCGTCTTGGAACCTCACTGGGCTGTGTAGCTCATCCCACGTTGTGGTTTTCTTTTACAGGTTCTGACAACTGAGGAAGACTTGAGATCTACTTGTACTTTAAGCATGTAGTTTGAATTAAACAATGTAGCTTTTGTTTCGGGTTGCCACTTGAAGCTGGAAAAGTGTAACCCTTGAATTTGTATGTGGCTTGTATGAAATTTGTTACTTGGCTTATAAGGATGTATTTGAATTATATGTTTTGTTTCTTGGGTTGTAATCGGGAAGGTATTTTAAGAATCGACGTTAGCTATCTTAAGGCACTGCTACCTCTGAAGTTAATGTGATTCTAGAGACCGGCCTATTTGGAGGGAAACGATGTTGCAATAGATTAGGTTATACTTCGGAAGGACTTTTGCTAGCTGCTTGCGTGAGTCCTGGCGAGAGCTGGGCAGACGGCCCGCCAACCCTCTGGTTCGCCTTAGGGGGAAGTGGGGTCGCCACAGGTAGAACAATCAAGACGATCACGAAATTGCTCAAGAACCCTTGTCAATGCAAGTAACGGAATTGTACTCTCCATGTAAGAGAAACAAGAACAAGTTTATTATCATAAAAACGGCCCCTTTATGCTTACATAGCAAGCCTTTATATAGGCAAAACTAATAAAACCCTAATATCCGAAACCCTAATATCGAAAAGCTAGATGGTCGGCCACTTCTTGGACAAGGTGGACCGATCCATGGACTCAATGACAAAGGCCTAGTGGTTCGGCCATCCTTAGACAAATGTGGGTCAAATCCATGGCTAACAAAAGGACTAATTTAAACTTAAGACTCCTAACACTAAGGCCTAATCGGCCATGGCCCACTTGGCTCTTCACGGGCTTGGATCATCATGTAGACAACTGGGTTATCACCTTCCAAGCCTTCAATGTCTCGATGAACTCTTGTTGGTCTTGAACATTCCGCACAAGGGCTTGGAGTGATTCCTTGAATTGCTTAGCCTTGAATTGCTTAGCCCGTGCACGTGTGACTGGGCCCAATGGTACTTGAACTGGGTCATTGCGTGGGCCAAGGTCCGTGCACACATCAGTCCCCTCCTCTTGAGAAGGATTTGTCCTCAAATCTAGATGGGGATGAAAGATACTAACAAGAGTTAGTAGTATGACAACTCAAATCGACAGTGCGTTTGGAGGTCAGCCACGTTGGGAGCAAATGAAAGGTCACGAGCCAAGTCAAATGCCATTTGGTCAGCTTCATGAGGCTCTCAAACAAGGACATGCGCCAAGATAGGAAAGAGCTTGTGTAAGGCTCGCGAAACTTTCAGGTAGCAATCCAAAGCTCTCTAATCAACCTTCGGCCATGGATTGTCGTATTGTCACGTGACATAAGTGGCAGCAATGAAGTGAAACGCACTCCATACGAATCGCATGAATTTGCGCAAGTTGGGGTTGGTGAAGTAAGCTCGTGGTGACTAGCTTTTGGACATGTGAAGAAACACGAACGTACACCACTTGTAGCAGGAATAAGCACGAAATCGGGTTGCAAGTCTTTTGTAAGTCCTAACGACAACCAAGAGGGGGGGTGAATTGGGTTGATTAAAATCTTAACCAAATTTATGCACTTTTTCTTTAATAAAAATTTACCTTCTTTTCTAGTAATGATCAACCAAGTAGATTAGAATACAATAGCAATATTGATCAGAAAAACAGGTATAGATAAGCAATGAGAATTTTATTAAACAAAAAGTAAAATAGGAAATCAAACCAATTGTCTACCAAGCTTTCCTCAAACTTGAAGACCAATCACAAGGTTGAGCAGCTTCTCTTTGATGAAAGATGATCAACTAGATGTACAATGGAGGGAGCACTTCCTCCTTGCCCTAAGCCTCACTTAGTCAAGCTAAGAAGTTTTACAAACACTCAGATAACCCTCAACAAAGCTACACTAAAGAAACTTTCAACCACAAGAGAAAAGCTAACCAGAAATTCACACCACTTAGAGAACAAATCTCACTTTGGAGACTATTTTCTAGCTAAAATATCTCTTCAGATCTTGTAAACAAAGTGTGCAAAAGTTTCGTCTTGGTTCAGACCAGTTTGATTTTAAAGGGAACCAAAAATGAGCTTCATCAATGCTTCCAACGGATAGAAGGCAGCTGAAGAATCAACTAGTCGTTGGGGCTGTTGGACGTCCGACGATCAAATCATCGTCCGAACCAATCGTCCGATGACTGCCAAGTTGAAGTTCGGACGTCCGATGCGTCTTGATCGTCCGACAGCACAGCGTCCGATCGTAGGCAGAGAGTTGGCAGGTCATCTTGAAATTTTTCGGACATCCGATGCGGTTGATATGCGTCCGAGGTATGCGTCCGATCCTTCCGGACGTTCGATGCTTCGTTATGAGCGTCCGACAGAGCTTCCTTCTTGATGTTCTTTATCCTTTCGGACGTCCGACAGATTACTTTCGGCCGTCCGACATGAGTGTCCTGTTTTTACTTCTTCTTTTGGTTGTTTTGCATTTCATGACATATTCGTACCTGATTCTTTGATAGACAACAACACTTATATTTGAAGAAAGTTAGATAAACCTTTCAAAGAACCAAGACTAACAAAATTGACATACTTAAAAGACAGTATCTTTGATCGGAACAAAACAATGACTAAATTCGTTTATATTATTCCAATCTTGTTTGCCACATCCAAAGCATCGTAGACTGGAGTCAATCAAACATATGCTTTACTTGTTCCATCAGGCCTGATCAAAGTGTTCACTTTCTTGGTCTGTATAAACATTTCAACGAACTTTTGTGATCATCAAAACCAAGAATAACATTCTCCCCCTTTTTCATGATGACAAAACAAAAGTTTAAAATGAAATTTGATGATTGCAGTATAAGCTCCCCCTTTCTCAAGAACTCCCCCTTATTTAGTGAATCATAAAATTTTGAAAATTTTGAAAAACTCCCCCTCACTTGGCTGCCCATCCGAGTTAAACAATTTTCCAAAAATATGACAATTAAGCATATTAGCCAATCCAAATTTAAACAATCAATCCAACATATCCAACATCACCAATCATCAATCATCAATCAACACCAATCATCAATCAATCCTTAATCCAGTCATCTCCCCCTTTTTGTCATCACAAAAGGGCAACCAATCACATCAACACATCCACAAACATATTCATCAATGAAAACCAAATTCATTGCACCAAAATACTTAAATATCCATAAACACAGTCATCATTCAAAATATTTAACATAAACATACAGTACCAACAAGAAAAACATTACAAATGTTGAACATTACAAACACATAAAATAGACAAACAGAATGCAAATGTCCTAAGTAGTGATCTATGTGGATCCAGGTGTTCTTCGAGAGAGCTGATATTGAGAGAGGTCTTCCTCATCAGTTTCTTCATCATCTTCAGCATCTTCTTCAATTGGTGCCTTGCCTTTGTCTGATGTGGAAGGGCCATGAGGAGTCACAGGAGTTGATGAATTCGGATCTGGAATTGCTGCACTTGGATCAGTGGTGCGAGACTCTTTGCCATGTGAGACTTCCTCAACTACAGGTGGGGGAAAAAGAGGGTTCTTTTTGTCTAGAAAGGCAGTTTGTTGCTCAGAGGACATGGTGAGCATTAGGCCATGTTCTAGAAGAAAAACATGCTGTTTGAGTTCATGAAGAAGCTCAATCACTCCATCATTGGAGGAGGAAGATGCCTTAGTGGCAGATTTCCTAGGATGAATGGGAGTGGGTGGAATAGATGAAGGATCATGTGCAGCCTTAGACCTATGTTCACTGGACGATGCCTCCTTATAAGACCACATATTATCTTTAAAAATAAGATTTTTCCTTTCAAAATATCCTTTGGTAAAGGCATAAGAAGATGTTTCTTTGGGACAAACACCTAAAATTGGAACTTTGAAAAACTCAAAAATCTTTTGAAGAAACTTTCCATAGGATAGTTTTCTGCGAGAGTCAGTGGTATAGCGAAGTAAAAACTTGCACATGACAAAACCAAAATCAATTCGAATTTTTTCTCGAAAACAATAAAAGAGGTACAACTCCATTTTGTTTGCATCAGTTTTATGGCCATCAGTAGGCACAAGCAGGTTTGAAATAATAGAAAAAGCAATGAAATTCACAGGGACAAGATCATTCAGTTTAGCTTCAGCAGGGAAGGAAAAACTTCTTTTAAAATAGGTCAACATTTTAGCCCCATCAAAATGATTATCAGCATTAGGGTGCTCTTCGTAGGAAAAGAAATTTACAATTTTATCCTTGCACCCACGTTCAATGGTAGTATTTAAAATGGAATTCACAATTTCAGAATCAAAGATTAAATCTACCCCATTAACCCTGGAAAAGATTTCAGTTTGGTCAGAGTCTTTCCTAAGATTAGCAAAAAATTGATGCAGCATTTCAGGATAGTAAACATTTGGCATAGAAATGATATGCGACCATTTCTGAAAAGCAAACAACTTCAGAATGGGTTCTAAACCTATGAGACGAAATTCAGAAGGGTTTACAGTGCGTTGAGGGATGACACCTTTCTGGGATATCAAGGAGTGTCTGTCTCTTGCTGTATCATCAAAGAATGTAGGGGGTGGGGCTGATTTTGGAGGCGGTTGAGAAGATGTTCCCTGTCCAGACTCAGGCTGAGATGTGGGTTGTGGAGTAGGCCGTGACATTTGACCCTTGATAGCTCCCATTTTGAAGCGTTTGGATGTCCGTTTGACAGTAGGAAGATCCTCATCCTCATCCCTGAGTGGATGCTTGCGTCCGGCAGTAACCTTTCCTCCCCTTAGATTCACTATTGTGCGAAATGTGTGGAATGAAGGATGCAAATGATGCACACAGCAGTTAGGGAAGTGAATAGAACAAAAATTTTGGAACAAAAGACCTTGTACAAGATTTGACAGAGCGGTTATGAGAAGGTAGGGTTTTGAGAAAAATTTGGGAATGTGTGAAGTGATAGATGATTCTGTGAAATGATCAGGAAAAATGACTCGCAATTGATCAGGAACTGTTTTGGTTGAGTCAATTTGGGAATGGGGGCTTCAGAATGATATGAATTTGAGAGTGAGAGACAAGAGGGTTTTCGTCCGAGAGAAAATAAAATGGGAAGAGTCTGAAGCAAATGAGGAAGAAAGTTGTTTTAAAAAATGAGCCGTTGCACTGTCGGACGGCCGAACGAAGTTGTGCGTCCGACAGTTGCGTCCGAACAGGTGCAATCTGGAAAATGGCTGAAGAACA